TTTCTGGTCAGCGCCAATACGGGCAAACATTCACAAGAGTCGCGCACCCTAAGGTTCTGGTTCAGGGATTGGCTGACCAATGACGAGAAGCAGGCCCACATCGCCCAGGACTTCTTCAAGGAGCTAGTCAGTCCGCAGGACTTTCCCAGAGGTGGGTTTAGAATGCTTGAAATGTTACAGCTTACAAGGATGGAAATTTAAATCTCTCCAAATTATGTTTTTTAACGAATTTATGGAATTTTGCTATTTTTAGTTTTTACAATTATAACCTTTGATAAGAAACAAAATGTGTTGTTTCATAAACAAGCCAAAGTTTTACTCTTATCTCGGTCTTTGTTTTAATAGAAAAACGCAAATTACTAAGCATTGTTGATAAAAACAAACTTAAAAAAAGGGAATATAGAAAACAACAGATTAAGTAGCTTAAGTTTGCTTTATTTTTGTTTTTAAATTATTATTTTTCAGATTATGTGGGATTCATAAAGAAGATAATGAAGCTATTGCAGCACGGATACTCGGAGATCCAGTCCATTGAGATTGAATTACGCATCCTGGAGGAGACCTCCGCTCCACCCTCGCGACCACGTGAGTATCCTCAATTCTTTCTTACAGGAATGTATAAAAAAGGAACTTGATATTGCACATGTTTAAGCGAAAATCAAAATGATTTCTTCTGAGATTTAAAAACTCTATTAAAGTCACCTAAAACACTTTAAACTGTGCAAATCAAGTTCCAAGTCTTACATACTTCTCCGAGTAAACTGTACCATTCAAAATTGACTTCTCATCTGAACTATGTGACTTCATCTATCCTCTGGGCTGTGCGGGTGGTTAATTTTATGGCGATCAGCCCGGGATGGGTACATCATCTACTGCTACGGCGACTGCAACAGGAAGTTCGAGGAGGCGCTGTTGGCGCAGCGGAAGACAGGTGACGGCGACAACCTGATGAAGGCCATTTGGCTGGACATGTACACCGAGCAGCTGAGCGCCAGGCGGAAATGAGGGGATTTTCATTCTATAGAATCCCCGATTCCAGTGCTCCAATGCTCCAGTGCTCCCACAACTAATCATCTAATCCGCTCAATGAACTCCGTTTTGTATCTGCTTCGTTGCACTTCTTCTCTCCGCCAACCTTGTTGTTCGTTGTTCGTTTTTTTTTTGTTGTTCGTTTTGTTTTATTTTTCTTTTTCGTACTAATGCACGCACTAAAACACTCACAACAAATATGCCTAAAATATATTTAAACAATGTGTTGTGCACTTCAAAGACATAAACAAAAAACAAAACAGAAATGTACAAAAGCGAAATAAAATAAAAATAAATAAAACTATAGGTTCCTTAGGTGGCTTTGTATTACCAATTACTGCTTGTCAAGCTGTAAGTGCTAGCCAAATCAGAAGGATATCGCTCTCTTAATATAAAACCCTTTCAAAAGGAAGGCAATCTCTATTATCAGATTGATTATCTGCTTCGATTTCTGCCAGCTTTCCATCCCACAATTATGGCTCTCTAACTGTCATAATAAATGTAAAACTGTTAAGGATGGAATTTGTTAATTCAAAACTGTAAGCTAGAGGATCTCAAACTATTGCTTTCAGTTCTCATAGAACTGTTTTTAAAATGTCTGCTTTTAAAATTATTATAAAGCTTAACCGACATTTGACCTTAAACTTGTTAGGAACCACAATTGACAAAACTGTTTAAAACTGTAATTTAGAATTTCAATAGCGCTGTTCGCCCCAAGCTTTTATTTGTCGTTCCCATTTGAGTTGTGCTTCCCAAACTGCCGCCTGTGTTATTTTCAAACCCACCAAAGCATACCCAACCCATCAGTTGTCCTCAAAATGCAGTCGACACCTCAAGAGCCCAATTTGTCTGCTGTCTGCAATTAAAATGCGCTGCTTGAGCACTTAATTGACCGCCCTGCCAGCCGTGTATTTATGTGTGTGTGTGTGTGTGTTTATTACTAACAGACACCGCCTAACCAGCCACGCCCACCGCTCAGAGTAGATGTCATTGCCCGCTAACAGAAGACCTGGCTAAATTAATAACCATTGGAAATAGGAATCCTAGACATTTACTTTATTCATGTCCTTCTCTTGCATTTCTCCCGTAGTTTCCCTTGAGGAATCCCAGTTCGAATCTCCGCCACTGACCCAGGAGAAGGTGCTGGAGCTCATTGAACAGGCATATCCCAACCCCGTGTCACCCGAGGACCTGGCCAAGTGAGTGTTTTAAAATATATTAAGAAATATCTTGAACTTCTTTTGGAATCCTACTAAAATCTATTCTTTTTTCCTAGGGACTATGGCTGGACTGAGCAGGATGTCCTGCTGGTAATCAAGTCGCTGCAGGAGCGCGGTCTGATCAAGTCAATGGAGTATAACGCGTACACCCGCATCCATCACGAGGACAAGGAGATTAAGGTGGTCAAGCAGATGCCCACGATCGCCTCCAACAAACAGCCCACCATTGCCATCATCACGGCCCAATATTGTGAGAAGCTCGCGGTGGATGCTATGCTCGAGAACAAGGAGACGTTCGTCCGATACACAACAGTCGGTAGGTTCAGTTCAATAACGAAATGACACAATCGCACGATTTGACCGATTGCTAATATCGATTGTCGATTGACGTTGGAAAGACTCGTTGACTACTCCCCAACTCTTACTAATCGAACTCTTGCCTAACCATCTCTTCTCTGTTTCTCTTTTTCCCTATCTGTTCCCTACCCTCGACTACGGTGGCCAAAAAAATATATGCATCACCATTACCGAATGAATTTGCATACAATTTTGCTGATTGTTTGCTTGCCTGCAATAAAAAAAAAACATTTCACCTTCCCCTGAATCAAAAAATGTAAACCAAACCATGTAACAGATTCCGATCCCAATCTAACGAACTCACTCAGAAAGTCCAAAAAGAAACGAAGATTCGGTAAGCTAAATGTCCAGAATCCACATCTAAATTCAGTCGCACATAAAAAGCAAGGTTAAGTTCATAGGCTTAAAAAATAAAAATATATCTTACTGTGTCTATCGAAATACTAATACTAAATAGTAAAGCAAGGAACAGGAAACACTCTCTGGATGGGGGAACATGGAGCGTTCGCATCTATCGAGTGAGACCTGTTATCAAATGACTTGCCATAAACTTGAATAGAAAGAAAGTTATGAACTTGGCCTAGAATAATTTGATTTGTTGTTAGTTTCGTGTCCTGTTTTGTGTCTGTGTTGTGTTTCGTCGGTTTTTTGTTATATTTTATTTGGTTGTTGTTATGGTAAAGGATTGTCCTAGGATACATGACCTTCAATTGTACATACAAACATGTAACTATCGTCATCAGACGGATTGATTAACTCCGTCACGCACTTGGTTCATAAAATGGTTAACCATCGATTTACACATCTAAATTTTTCTGTATTGGGTCACAATAGAAGATTTGATATCAAAAATGAATTATATACTTTTTTATAATTTGATTTGACCCTCATCTCTTTTCATTTTCTGATCTCAATTTAATTTGGTGTACTTGTATATTATTGTCCTGATCGTGAAGCCACTATTTACCACTCAACTAACCATATCTTTATCTATATTCCATAGGCGAATCGAACGTGTATACCCTGGGCAATATCGGGGCGCACAGGATCGTGAGCACTAAGCTTCCGTCGGTTGGCAGTAACCGGGAGGCGATGACGGCGACGGGCAACACCACCACTCGCCTGTTGGGCACATTCCAGAAGGTCGACTTTGTCTTCATCGTGGGCGTGGCCGGTGGCGTGCCCCACTACACAGACTACAAGAAGCACGTCCGACTTGGCGATGTGGTCATATCATATGTGGACAAGCAGAGAGCCTTGATTAGCAATAGGTAAGAGGATCGCAAGTAAACATTTGTAATTCCTATTAATCCTTTATTCGTCCTACAGCAAAGAGAAGCCGTATGTGTACTTGTACAAGAGCGGCGATGATGTGAAGACCTACTTCCCAGTAAATGACTCGCTGCAGCAGATCGCCGAAAACCTGCAGGCCAATATGCAGGTGAAGCGGCCTTGGGAGGACTACCTGAACCAGGCCCAACAGGCGCTGGCCCAGAAAACGGAGGCTGACTTCAATCGACCGGATGCGAGGACGGACAAGTTGTTCATGAACATCGGCAACAATGAGGTTATCGAAGTGGCCCATCCCATTGCCGCTGATGAGGTGGACGGCGTCAACAGGCTACGCCTTCACCTGGGACCAATAGGATCCGGCAGGGATCTGGTGAGAAGTGATGATCTGCGCACTCAGTTCGCCAAGAAGTACGGCCTACTGGCTACCGACGTGGAGATGAGCAGTGTGCTGGACAGTATCATCGGAAATTGCAGGGAGAGCTTCATTCTGGTGAAGGGAATCGCCGACTACAAGGACGGCACGTCCACACGAAAGTGGCAGAATTACGCAGCCATTTCGGCGGCGTCGGTGGTCAAGTCGGTTATCTGCGGCATGGACGCGCCAACGAATGTCTAGGAGGCTGCGGGGCTTCGAACCCTCGATTTATCCTCCATTCCCCTCCCCAGCAATCCTAGCATTTGATTTGCCTCCGATTTTCGTGTCTTTTTTTTCTAGGGGACGGACCTTGGGACCGCCTTTCGTAAACCAAAATGTGCATAGATTGCATCGTATATAACGTATGTTCGCGTAATATTGTATTAAATGATTTCTTGTTATTTATTTTGTTATAACTTTTGTACTACAATCAATCTAATTTACACACAAACACATGACGTATATACACACATATATACAGCAGTAAATAAATATCGCAACTAAGCTTGCAAAAACTAAAACCTAGTAATCTTTTTTAAGAAGTTATGATTTTATTTTTAACTTGAAACAGTTTTACTTTTCGGAATGACAGCTTGAACTTACGCGGCAAAGTGGATTTTTTAGTGTTAAATCAGTGTGTCAGTGGAAGTTGAAGGGAAAAAATCAGTATCAATAACTGGTAACACTGGTCGGGCAAATTCAGACTGATTCAGGCAGAAAAAACAAGCAGAGGCTATTTTTTTTAGCAGCGAGCGTTTGGTATCAGCGTTTACACCTGTGTGGCCTTCAATCGCTCGCACCTGCGCCCGCACCGCCCATCCCTCCCCCCGATTCCTGAAATAGCGACAACTGCGGCGCATTTGCTTTCCTTTGTGTGTTTTGACTGTTTCGTCTGTTTAAGCCCAAAAAGCAAAGAAAGGCCCGTAGTCACAACTCACAGGCATTGGTGGTACTTTCTGCTGCTTAAACAATTGGCCAAAATGCTGTGGACCGTGCATCTGGACGGTGGGCCGCAGCGGGTTAATCACGCGGCAGTGGGCGTGGGCGACTTCATCTATAGCTTCGGCGGCTACTGCACTGGATACGATTATCGCTACAACGAGCCCATCGATGTCCACGCCCTAAACGTCCATACAATGCGCTGGACATTGGTGCCCCAGCAACTGGACGCCGATGGGGTGCCACTGAAATATCCGCTGGTACCCTTCCAACGCTACGGACACACAGTGGTGGCCTACAAGGAACGCATATACATCTGGGGTGGTCGCAACGACGAGAACCTGTGCAATGCAATCTACTGTTTCGATCCCAAGACGGCCCAGTGGTCAAGACCCCAGGTCACCGGCTGTCTGCCGGGAGCACGAGATGGCCATTCGGCCTGTGTCATCGGCAACAGCATGTACATCTTTGGTGGCTTCGTGGACGAGATCAATGAGTTCAGCAGCGACGTACACTCTTTGAACCTGGACACCATGGAGTGGCGCTATGTGCAGACATTTGGCGTGCCGCCCAGCTACAGGGACTTCCATGCGGCAGTTGCCTACGAACAAAAGCGCATGTACATCTTTGGCGGACGAGGCGATAAGCATAGTCCTTACCATAGCCAGGAGGAGACCTACTGCCACGAGATTGTCTACCTGAACATGAAGACCAAGGTTTGGCATCGACCATTCACGGCCGGAAAGGTGCCAGTGGGGCGGCGTAGCCACAGCATGTTCGTCTACAACAAACTGATATATGTCTTCGGGGGCTATAATGGCCTGCTGGATCAGCATTTCAATGATCTGTACACCTTCGATCCGCGCACCAAGCTGTGGAACCTGATAAGGGCCAACGGCAAGGCGCCGACCGCGCGTCGAAGGCAGTGTGCCATTGTGGTGGGCACTAGGATGTTCCTGTTCGGCGGCACCAGTCCCAGAGGTGGCTCTTCCGTCACGCAAGCAGCTGCTTTACCCACTCAGGAGGCAGGCGGAGTTGTTCCTATCGGCGTATCGCTAATCGACTATAGTGATCTGCATGTGCTCGACTTTGAGCCCACCCTGAAAACCCTGTCCACCATGGTGGTGTTGAAACACCAGATGGACATCTCTGGGCTGCCAAGGAGCTTCCGCTCTGATCTGCAGATGCTGACGCAGCCGAACAGTATTAGCCGGCCGATCAACCAGGCCGGCTAGCATCCAAAACCCTAAAGGATAATCCAGAGTCGACTGCCACACAAAAAGAAAAAAACGGAATGGGGAGAAAAAACATCACGGAGCCACTAGTCCGGTTCTTCGTATTTGAAACCATTGGAGGAGCAAGCTCGAATTATGTTTGTGAGAGAGATGGCGTAGGGAGGCGAAGAACCTGAGAGAAAAAGAGAGAGAAGCCCCAGTAGTTATAAAGTTTTAGAAACTTGCTTTTGGTACTTCTGATAGCTGCTAAATAATACACAATAATACTGATTATGCGAATGATATTATAATAGAGATGTAGTTCGTAAAACATTTATAAATCGTCATTAAATAAAATCTCCATTAACATTATCATCCGCTTTTTGCCAAAAAAAATCAGCATACGAAGTAATATATTACTTAGAAATCATTATATCCGTTTTGTTTAGATTTTGTTGTTTATTTTAATGCTTGTCTCGATCGGGGTATTATGTCAGTATTGTTACAAAAGCTGTCTAAATAATCTAAAAAACAGTTGATATAGCTAGCAGCTTGTCCAAACAAATGCCAACCGCAAGCTTGCACGTATCAGTTTCTACATTATTTACTTTTTCCATTAGGGAAATTTTGTATTATTTGATTGTTAATTTGGACAATTTCGATCTCTCAAGGTTTACATCTCACCTTGTATTAATTAAAACCATTGACAGAGTAAAATCTTTACAGTTTTCTATGTCGTAAGTGGCTTAACAGATATTAGAGAGATGTAATTGTTCAGAGATCATTACTATCTGGTTAAGCTATCTATATTTATATGGTAATCGTGGATGTAACTTCCCTTGAACGCAGTGTTACAGCCAGGAAGCAGTCATCAAATCACTTGGAAGCAACGGCCTCGCATGCAATGCTAGTAAAAGTAAGGTCAGTAGTAACTCTGTAATTGGCTATTATAAGTTGTTGCCGGCGGATCGCAAGGCCTCGGGCCGTGCCTCCAGGGGCAGAACACGTCGCGTATATATGGGATATATTTATATATAATATATAGATCGGCTAGACTATCCCACGGCGCTGGTGTAACCGCGGACTGTAAGGTAGCCATTGATGATGTCCGAGGGCATGTGTTGCATGGACGCATATTCGTCAGCGTTGGCGAACCTTAATTTTGTATGCGGATCGGCATATGGAGCGGGTAGTCCGCTAATATCCGAGTACTTCTTGGCCGGAACCAACGAGGGCGGTGCATTGAGCGTGAAGTCTGTGTACAAACATTGCTTAATAGGAGCGTCCCCATTAAAAACCTATCTTCCGGTACTCACAGGTGGGTCTGTCAGCGGGCAGCTTCAAATTCCTTTCCATATTACTTATCTGCCGCAGTGGACGATAGACACAGTTTTTGGGAAAAGCAAAAGGACGCTTAAAAGAGCGTTTCGGTTTTGATTCCATTTGTGCAATTGAGATGGTTTCTTTTTATTATGAGTCTATCGACTGCGCTAGAGATGATAACATCTGTTGGCCAAATCTATCGAATACGGCAAACTTTTTCATTTTTTTCAAAATATATCGAAGTATTGAAAATATTTCGACCGCCATAGTTCGTTTCCAACTACTGAAGAAAACTGCTGAAGTAGCAATATGAACGGCGTGAGTAAATAAATCAGATATGTGGATATTTAAGGAATAAAAATAAAACGATGCTGTTTACTATAAAGGAAATTAAAAACAAGGTTGAGATTTGCGCCAGTAGGGTGCGCAATTTCGCTGTGCTCTACTACACATTCATTGACAAAAAACGCCATGTAAGTTGAGTGTTTCCCGGAATGACGTCTTATTATTTGAAATTTGATCCCATTCACAGCAAATCGGGTCGCTGTATCTCGAAAATGCTACCATCAGCTGGAATGGTAATGGGGCAAACGGACGCGAGATGATCGTGCGCTTTATTGATGGCTTGCCGCCATCTAAGCACTATTTTACCAATGTGGACGCCCAGCCCATCCTGGATCCCGTCGTCGGCGAACTGACCACTTACTTAATTCAAGTCGGCGGTAACGTAGAGTTTGGCGATCAGTCGCCACGCTTTTTCCAGCAATCCTTTATTGTGACTATCGAGAACGACTTTTGGAAAATAATCTCCGACTGCTACCGCATGCAGGATTGATTCTATGGTTCAAGCCCCAAAAATCTCAACATTCCATTTTACATTTTTTAAAATAATCTAACAATAATGAAAATATTGCTGGATATTCGTATATAAGCTTTCAAACATACATAGTTTTTATTGCCGGTTGCCTTTAACAATAGTGCCAACAATAGTACAAAAACAAATTACATTTTTCCAAAAAAAAAAGAAAGAAAAAAAAACAAAATGACACTGAAAATTTGAATTTTGCAGTTGGCAAGCAAAGAAAACTTTTGGCGGCGGAACGCTGAGAACTATCATCTATCGAACTTAAGCAATCGAATTTATCGAGTGTCATCTGGCAACACTGCAAAAAATAACGGATTTTAGGCGAGCGCTATCTGGTAACATTGAAATAGGTCCAAAGGCATAGGCCAAATAGTTATTAATAATAGTAAATCCAATAATAGTAGTCGTGTGCCCGTATTTCGCATTGATTGTTAATTATATAGTTCGCAAAATAGCGCGTTCAGGCGACTGGCAACTTTGCCACTCACACAGAATCGCGCACACGGCTGGCAGGCCAGTTAAACGAACATTATTTTACTTTTTTTTGACCACTGCACTCCACACGTTTTTACGTAGCTTTTTAAAATAGCTGAATTCGTGGAGCCTGACAAATTTTGCGCGGCTTAATCAAAGTTAGTGGCTGTATTCAAGTATCCAATAAGAAAACTCTGCGAAAATGATGTAAAGGAAAACTCTCAAGTAGTCCAACTGTGTGTGCGTGTGTGTGTGATGTGTGTGTTGGTGTGTGGAAATTAACGTAGTGTGAAGAAGAAAAGCGAAGGAAAAGCGACAATTGCAGTCCAAGGCGAACAACAAAAGCAACTGAAGGTTGCCCAAGCCCCCACGCCCCCTTCGCCTTCCGCCCCTTTGGAGGACAACAAACGGGAGCGCAGTAAGTTTCTGACAACCTCCTTTTAACCCACACGCCCCAGCTTTTCATTCTTTCACCTTCCAATTGGACGGACTCCTGTAAACAAAAACAACGCATCAGCAATCAACACAAACAAAAATCACCTCTTTTGTTGCTGTTATTGTCGTTCTTCGGAACGGAAGCAGAGGAAGTTGAATCATCAAGCGGAACTTGTTTCCCCCTGCTTGATTTGTTGTTGTTGTTGTTGTTGTTGTTGCTGCTGCTGTTCGAAGCATAAAAATGCCCAGCATACAAAGTCCAATCGGAGTCGCAGTTAATGCATGCCGATCCCAATCGGAATCCCAGTTTATCGGGCTATGTAAACAAATGTTTTTTTTTTGCGCCACGCGTTGAAGATACAGTGAAGCCTCAAGTTTGGGTTCAACAAAACGAGGCCTGGCTTCTCCCAGAAGAGGTCACCCAGAAAAAATAACCACAGCTCTTTGCGGTTCTTCTTTGTGAGTAAGACAATATGGATATGATGAAACTTTTGGCGGTCTAACAGATCCTATTAGATTTCTTGACAACATTTCGAAACATTTTCATATCTAAAAGAAGTATCTCTCTTAGCTAAAGAATGCATTTCAAATTTAATAACTTCTTATATTCCCAATAATCATGGGAATCCCAGAATTACTTGTGTCACATATCGAATCTCCCTTGGAAAGTCTCTTTGACTTTGCCCTCGACTGCAGATAACTTAAAAAAAAATATTAATTAATATGGGATTGGGAGCAACCCCAACTGGTAAAACTGGTAGCCTCTGTCGGCCTTATCTTATCTTCCCTGGAAGTTCCACCATGCCCAAGAATTAACCACTCAACGCGGGGTCTTTGGCTGTCTGTCTCTTCCAGAGGAAACGGCGCCGTCATGGAGGAGAAGCGCATCGCCGATTACTTTGTGGTGGCCGGAATGCCGGAGCATCCGCAGCTGCTACAGGAAAACAGCTTCAATGACTCGGGAAGATTACGGGCTGCGAGCACCATTGAACCGATCACAGACATCGGCGTCTATTTCCCATTGCTGGGCGAGGACGTACCCGAGGGATATGAGATTCTTTCGCACACGCCTACGGGTCTGCAGGCGAACCTCAATCACGGATCAGTCCGCACCACCGACTGTTACATCTACTTCCGGCGGGGCAAGGATCGACCGCCTCTAGTGGATATAGGTGAGTGATTCAGTAAAGAAATCTAAGGGGAGGAACTGATTTATAGAATCTGCTCTTATCAAACTTTATGGACATTATAAATTTTTTGGCCATATAGATTCTCCCAATCTATGCAATTCTCAACTCTGCGAAGAATTGGTCTGTGCTAAAGTTTTCCTAAAGTATTTGCTGAGTTTTCTTTCTTAATAATTCATCACAAGTAAGCTGACTAGAATAGTTTTTGACACTACTATAATCATAGACCTTGTTGTGCGTTTTTTAATGACCTGGGATTTCCACTGAACTGTCATTTTTATAAACGTTTTTAAATGGAATTATGAGTACATTTATTTTAAATATTTTTGGAATTATATTCCTATTAAATTGAAAGCAATGACTAAGTTATGATGACTAAAGTTTGAGATGATGTGATGCACTTTTTCAGGTTTCTCGTCTGTAATGTAAACTTAAAATAAAATTTATTTTTAAATAAATCAACATCATTCCTTTTGATTTTTGATAACTACAATTTGTTTAAGGTAGATTTCATCAATCAAAGGAAAGCTTGTTTGGTTTTCTTGATAACGAAAGTAAACTTTAGCTTTGTAATCTCGGCACGACTCGTGATAAACTCAATTCATTTGGTAGAGAACAAAAATGGCCAAACAAATTTAAATGTTTAATGTGTTAAAAAGGTGATAAGAGTTGGAGTATTTCTTTACCAAAATGTTTGTGTAATTGCGAATTGATTTACTAATCTGTTTCCAACTTTTGCAGGAGTCCTTTACGATGGCCATGAACGAATCATGTCGGATGCAGAAATCGTGGCGGAGACGCCTGGCGGACGGGTGGCCAACGTAAACAACTCATCGGCCAAAACCTTCCTCACATACCGTCGTGCCCGGGCAGACATGCCCTGCAACGAACTGGTGGTCACCGAATTGTGCGTTATTGTCCAGAGTAAGGGTGAGCGTGCACCGCATGCCTTCTGCCTGATCTACAAGACCCTAAACAAGGGCTATGTGGGCAGCGATGTCTATCTGTGCTATAAGAAATCCATGTATCGGCCGAAGCATATCAGCTACAAACCGGAGATCCTGCTGCGCTACCCCACCGTCGACCACAACGACTTCCCGCTTAATCTTTGTCCGAGCGTACCGCTCTTTTGCTTGCCAATGGGCGCTTCCCTGGAGGCTTGGCCGCATGTCAATGGAACGGAGAAGCGAAAGCCCATCAGTCCGGTATTTAGTACCTTTGTACTGACGGTCAACGACGGCACCTACAAGGTTTACGGATCCGCGTTGACTTTCTATGAGGACTATGAGTAAGTTACTTGTACATTTTTAGAAAACAAGACGTACTTATTATGTATTCTTTTAGTGAGTCGCAGTTGTCGGCGGAGCAAAAGGAGCTGCTTGGTTGGAACGAGGAGTTCGGCAGCCAGCACTCGCTGCACATGATCAAGGCCATATGCCTGCTGTCGCATCATCCCTTCGGCGACACCTTCGACAAGTGGCTGAAGTACCTCCATGTGAGTTCGAATAATCCTTTTTCAAATTTTAAAGTTGATCCATAATCTTCTTCAATCGGTTTTAGCACATGGTTCTGTATGGCGTTAATATTCCCATACCCGTGGAACGCTACATAACCCAGCTGCTGGACGAGGTGCCGTTCCCGGCGCCTAGCATCCACCTTCAGTTGTCCAGCGAGTCTAACGATCGTATCCTGCTCACCCAGCCAGAGGATTCACCGTTACCGCGAAGTGGCGCTGGCTTCCACATGCTGCTCCAGAATCTGGGCACCGATAATTGTCTGCATGTGCTACTGTTGGCCCTTACCGAACAGAAGATACTCATTCACTCACTCAGGTATGGGCTTTACATTAAACTGTACCATATAGATACTATATTTCGATTCCCATTACAGACCTGCCACGTTAACTGCTGTGGCCGAGGCCATTGTCTCCCTGCTGTTCCCATTCAAATGGCAGTGTCCGTATATCCCACTCTGCCCGCTGGGATTGGCAGAGGTTCTCCATGCCCCATTGCCTTATCTCATTGGCGTGGACTCGCGTTTCTTTGATCTGTACGAGCCGCCTACGGATGTCACCTGCATTGACCTGGACACCAACAATATTAGTGTACGTTTTTGTGATTGCGAATGGGCCTAAGGTCATATATGTAATCCATATATTATTCTTCTTTGTTCCAGTTATGTGAATCGCAGCGCCATTTGTCACCCAAGCTCCTTCCAAAGCGAGCAGCCCGTTTGCTTCGCCAGACGCTCACTGAATTGGAGAATGCCAAACCCATCAGCTATGACTCTACGAACAGCTTGGATCGCGACATTAGAAAACGGAAACGGGAGCTGGTGCTGGAGCAGCGCATTCAGGAAGCCTTCCTGCTTTTCATGGCCAGCATTCTGCGGGGCTACAGAGACTTTCTGGTGCCCATTTCGAAGGCGCCCTCCGTGGGAGCCACCGATCCGAGTGCCCTATTCCAGTTGAAGGCGTTTTTGCGATCGCGGGATAAGGTAAGGAATAAGTTTAATGAAGTCATTAAAATAAACTAATTGAGTAACTTCTTCAACAGTCTCATCAGAAGTTCTTCGAGCTGATGATGAAGACCCAGATGTTTATCCGATTCATCGAGGAACGCTCTTTTGTCTCTGACGGCGACCATGGCCTTAGCTTCTTCGACGAGTGTGCGGAAAAGGTGGGCAACTACGATGAGACACCCGCCCAGCTGCATTTGGTTGACTGGGACACGGGCCAGAATAGCGAACGGACCAAATACATCTTTCCGCCGGACAGTGTGACTCCAGCGGGATCTCAAGCAGCCGGAGGAGGAGTAGGATTGGCCTACAACTACGAGAACTTCACATTGCAGCCAGAGCTTCTGCAGAGCACGAAGAAAACAGCCCTATCGAAATTCCTGCAGCTGCAGCTAAACGCATCACTCTCGCCAGGATCACCGATTGCCCGGCGAACCAAGCACGAGATCAAACTTTCCCAGAAGATGGCCAGCCGGTGCCAACAGCATCCGGAGGCATGGTCGAAGTACCTGTTGGCCACCTGCTACTCGCTTTACTTCCTCATCCTGCCCTCAATGGTCTTGGATACGCGACATGCCGGCAAGGAGCCGGATATTCTGCGCGCCGCTTATGATGTTCTGGTGCGAGCAAGTCGCTTGAAGATCACCTGCGACGAGTTCTGCTACAGGATCATGATGCAGCTGTGCGGTATCCACAATCTGCCGGTGCTGGCCGTTCGCCTTCACTATCTGATGAAGCGCTCGGGCGTGCAGGCCAATGCTTTGACCTATGGATTCTACAATCGCTGCGTCCTGGAGTCCCAGTGGCCGCAGGATAGTACCACGCTGAGTCAGATCCGCTGGAACCGCATCAAGAACGTGGTACTGGGAGCTGCCCAATTTCGAAAGGCTGGTAAGCAAAGGGCTGCCTCTAAGGTAAACAAATCGCTAAGCGCATCCCAGGACCTCAGCACCCTGGAAACGGTGGACGGACAGTCGCGCACCAGCTTGGCATCCTCCTCTGGCGATGGCGGTGTGCATGGACTACTTGACTTTGCCGCTTTCGATCGGCTTAGGAATAAATTGGGCAATATTGTCCGGCAGACGGTAACGGGCGGTAACATTGAGGCCATGGAGGATACGGTGAACAGCGCTGGACTGCTTATCCCCGGCGAACGGAGTGCCCCAAACACGCCGACGTATGGCGGTGACACAGAGATTCTGGCGAAGGCCCTTCAGCAACAGCAGCCGCGTAAGCAGATCATGAGCATTGGCGGCGGGGATGATGATGACGAGGATGAGGACGATGATGAATACACGGCTGGATCGCCGAGTACCCCGCAAAAGCAACTGGAGGCAGGTGCCGATGAGCTGGAATACGCCGGTGGAGGAGACTACGAGGCAGACGAAGAGGACGACGATGAGGTCGACGAGCACGTGGCCGCACAGCGGGCACGCCAGCGGGTGCAGAGTCCAACCAAGTGAGTCTCGGAATTTTCAATTGGTTGAGAAATTTAATTAATTGAAATTCATTTCAATCTTTAGAATCTCGCCCCGTACACCCGTGACCCAAAACGATCCGCTGGGCGCTCTTAACGAGGAGGAGGCCGCCGCCAGTGCCACGCCCACACAACAGATGCAGCAGGAACAACAGCACTCACAGTCACAGATCGACAGCAGCATATATAGCGACAAGCCGATCCTGTTCCGTGGACAGAGAAGCGCCACCTTCGACGAGTCGACGCAGATCGGGAAGAGCATGCACCGCTCGGAAACGATGCCGGTGGCCAATAGCGGAGTGACCAACAGCCTGGCCAACATCGGATCCTCGCTGAAGTTCACGTTCGGGTAACTCCCGCGTTCCACAGTCTTCCCTCCTCCGTTTCCCCCACTTTGTGTCTCCCCTTTTTGATTCATCTGAACACACAACTCCACAAGCATTCCAAGTCCAATCACCGAAGCAAGCCGATTATTAATCCCTTTTTTTTTATAACTTAATCCTCTTAATTGACTTGGACTTTTCCCTTTTTCACATCATTTAATCGATGGCTTGTTAAAAACTAATCAGCATTTACATTTTAAAAAGGATATAAATGAAAATTAATGATTCAAATTCAATCAAATGATCTGAAAAAGTGGAAAAGTCTTGAATTTTTGTATATCTTCATCTACCTATCTCTACATCGAACTCGTTTCTGTGCCACATTTGTTTTATGATTTATTTACATTTATATTATATATATAATTATATCTTAGACGTTATTCACCCGCACGATTGTCCCTTAAGAAAGACTTGAAATTGCCCGCCAATATTATAGAAAATATATCGAGCATAAGGTAAGTGGAGACCTTTCTTAGCGAACTTCTAGACACACATACCCGAAAACTACACCCAATTGTGTGTTGTGCTGCTTTCCACAAGATCCCCATGGATCATTCAATTTGTGCTCTTTGGGTGAAGGATGTTTTTCTAATGGTTATTGGGTCGAAAATAATCACATTTTCTATTTCAATGTTAATTTTTTATGGTTGAGTGTGCTACTTAAGTTTGGTCTGTTGTCCTTCTAACTTCATTTTAATATTTTAAATAATATTTAATTTAAAAAAAATAGTCAATTTCATATGACAAACCCCACTATTAGTAAATTGCATCATTCAAATCAAACAAAATGAATGATAAAATCAAAGTTAAAACTTCATTTTTATCATCTGCATTCAAGACAATACTAAAATCTGTTCTTGTTTTTAAAATATATTAAGTACTCATATTAATTTTTTAGTCATTTGTTTGCTGTACACAAGTGGACAGCGGCAATTAACACACACACAGCGGCACAACAAAAACACACACAACAGATACTTAACCTCTTGTTTTCGTTTTGTGTTCCACATAAGTTCCACACCCCGAAATGCTGTTCCACAGAGTTTCGCCTTTGATTTTGGTTATGGTTACACGGTTATGGTTTAAAGTCCCCTATAAAAGAACAACTTCGTTGGTGGCGGGCAATTCAAGGTTTGTCAAAAGCCACCGCATCAAGCATCCACACTAACTTAATCGATTTAATCAATCTAACTAAACTAACTAACGGCCATCCACAAGCACCGCACCACCATAATGTACAGCAGCACCATCAGCAGCTGATTTTCTCGATCTTAAATTGGTGTTTCAATTTAAATTTAATACAGAACTATAAATTATTAGGTATATTCATAATATATAGTATAGTATAGCAAAAAATCAGCTGCTGCTGGCACCACTTCATTCTCGTTTCGTTTTGGACCTATAAATTCTTCCGCTTATAAGCAACCCAATTAATTCATGATATTTGTACAACCACAGTCCCAGCTTGACGGGCAAGAAGTCGAACGAGTTGATCCAAGGGAGCTTGAGCAGCATCAAATCGGCGGCCAGTTCGCTGACCAAGAAGTTTGACGAGATCAAGGGCGTCATCTCGGCCAATTCCACGCCGACGAAAACAAACAATGGTCATCATCCGCATGGCCTGCATCACCCGCACCATCATCCGCATCTTCATCACCATCCGCAGCATGGCAATCCGGATCAGGAGGAGCACGATTCAGCCGTTCACGAGGAGGGAAAATTGCGACGCGTCTCCAGCGATTTGGATCCTTGGGGCAGACTCAGTGAGTCGCGCAAGTCCAGCTACAACAATCTGGTGCCGTTGGGCGAGAACAGTTCCACCGGCGCCCTTCACATGCACGCCTTTCCCGCTCTGCCCGACAACCTTTACAGTCTCATTGGCGAGGTGAGTTCTCTAGCCATTGGTCGAAAGGACTTCCCTTAGTATAATCTAACTATTTATCCCACAGAACTCTTCAGATCGTGACTGCGATGTGCTGATCCAGTTGACCACTTGCTCGCAGTGCCACAACTGTTCAGTGCTCGTCTACGATGAGGAGATCATGAGCGGCTGGACGGCGGAGGACTCTAATCTAAACACCACCTGTCATGCCTGCAACAAGCTAACGGTCCCCTTCCTAAGTGTTCAAATCGAGCGGCAGGCAGAAGCGTCCGAGCAAACGGATCCCTTGGATGACACCAAGGAGCACCCAGCCAACGGTACTAGCCTCAAGTCTAGCTTGACTGTGCCGTATCTTAATCCGTTGGTACTGCGTAAGGAGCTGGAGAACATTCTCACCCAGGAGGGCGATATTGCGTTAATCAAGCCGGAGTTCGTCGAGGAACACCCGATTATCTATTGGAACTTGCTTTGGCTAATGGAGCGTATCGAGAGCAAGACGCACCTGCCGGAGCTGTGTTTGCCCGTTCCGGTTAGTAAATTGTTATAGAAGCCCTAAGAAAACTCTGATATCTAATGATCTCAACTAGATTGTATAAAGATTTCTCTTAAATACTTAATCATAGAAGTAATTTCTAGTATTATTTAAAACGACTTACCATTGCTTTTCCTTTATTTTCCAACAACTAGAGCGACAAGGAGCACATTGATCCGCTGAGCAAGATGAAGACGGTGCATATCCAATGCCTGTGGGATAACCTTAGCCTGCACACCGAGGCTAGTGGTCCACCCATGTACATCCTGTACAGGGAGACCCAGCCGACGAGTCCACTCATGAAGGCGTTGCTAACCGACCAGGCGCAGCTCAACAAGAAGTAAGTGTGATCTTACTGACCAGGATTACTTTAATACTAAAATCCCTTTGCCTCCATTTTAGTGTCATTCAGCAAATCATTTCGGCCATCCGATGCAATGATTTCGCCACTCCCTTAAAGCGTTTGGCCAACGAGCGGCACAAGCTGAAGAGCAACGGGGTGGAGCGATCGCATTCGTTCTACCGTGATATCCTCTTCCTGGCTCTGACCGCCATCGGTAGGGCCAACGTGGACCTGGCCACATTCCATCGCGACTATGCGGCCGTCTTCGACAAACTGACGGAGCGGGAGTGCAATATGTACTATCGCAACCAGGATCTGCCGCCTTCGGCATCAACGATCTTCTGTCGTGCCTATTTCCGTCCACTTCTGCTGCCCTGACGCAGTGACTCTCAGCCGGAGGAGTCGGGTGGCGACTGTGGAGCATCTTCAGGCGATGCCGAAGAAGAGGAGTTGACATGATTGAGAGGATTAACAGATGATTCAATCGTGGCGAAATCTTAAAAGACAAGACGACCAAAAAGAAAATTTCATTAAAAAAAGAAAACGGAAACGAAGGGAAAGCTTAACGAGAACAAAACGCTTATCACACACACACACACCTACAACTTAGGCTGGGTCGATTTTATAGATTGGACAATTATAAAATAATTTTATTTAGAGATCAACGCTCTTATTTACGTTATAAAAACAAAAGAGAAGGACGGTATTTCGGAACTATTCCTAGTAGGCTAAAAAAAAAATGTAATTGTTTTAAACGAAACATATTTAATTCGACAAAGTGTTCTTAGGTTTTCACAATAATAGTTTTGTTTATAAAAAAAAAAAGGAAGGAAGCTTCAGACGAACTTATTAAGAATTGTCCTCAAGCCAGAATTTTTGATTATTTTTTAACGAACTTCCCCAAAATAACCCAAAATAATTGTCCATTAACTTGACAAATGTTAAATTGTGAAAACATGCAAATGATTTTGTAAATGACTTGATCATACATTTTAAGTACTTAACGATTTTTCGCTGTTTAAACTTAATCAAAAACAAAATAATATATACACACACACACACACATGAATGACTGGTTTCTGTGACAATACATAACTACGTTCAGGGCAGTGCGTTTCATAGGTGTAAAGCAATGAAATTCTTAACATTTTGTACTTATGCCCAACATACTTATTCTGATAACTGCCTTTTCTGATACAACAACTAAATTTCCATTATCTTTAACCATATATCATGAGGTACGCCTTCAGAACCCCTAGACTCCGTAGATATTGATTGGCCTTACACAGTCGAAACGCACTGCACTTACCCTCTCCATTTGAAAAACACAAAAAGAAGCCACACCAAGATGTGTGTATTCCACTTTTCATTGACCCTCGTCATCATATTTGCCTTATTATATATAATATATAACGATACATATTTGTGTACATACAAAGCTATATGTGCGATCTTGTAAATCAGCATTGTGAGCGTAACCCCTTACCCTACCCCTACCCCTACCACTCCCCCCCCACTCTTGGCACTAACCAATATCCTTTCCAATATCCGGTTATTTCAAAAATAACCTGTAATCGCACTTTTTTGTATCTAGAGATTTTCTCACAATGCTCGGATCTTTTAGTTAGCTTAACGAACTTTTCGGCGGGGGAATTAAAGGGTAAATGGGTTAGCGGGGAGTGGGGAGTTGAGGAGTTGGGGGGTCAAGCGGTTAATCAATATCGACAGCAAATAACAATTAAACAACGATTACAATAGCAATAATTAATGGATAATCGTATATAAATGTAGATGGGATAACTCTTGCAGATCTAATTGTATGAGACACGTTCACGTCCACGTTTTTAATGACAACACCCACACACACACACACACACTAGACACAGACACACACACTCTCACTTATATAATGCAGCCACGGTAATTTTTTTGTCGGGAATCTTAACTAAATGTATATTTAATAATTAATTTAATTAATGAAAACAAAAAAACAATACGAAAATGGCAAAAAGAATAAACAAACAAGTTTTAAAAATAAAATGAATTTATGGTTTTCATTTAATTTAAATATGATCTTGTATAGATTTATCTTTATAGCAAAATATGGATGTTTGCTCATCGAATTTTAAGTAAACATTTTGGGGTAGATTTAACCTTGAATTAAAGGAATCTTTTTATATATTTTCTAAATAATATATGGGTCATAGATAATATAGAACTTAATCGTAGATTAATAAAAGACATATCATATCATTGCTCTAATATAATAGCAACTTTATAAATGACTAAAAGTAGTCGATGCCTTTCAAAATTGAAGAAAAGAAATGAGTATTTTTACACTACAAATCCCTTTGAAAAGTATTAATTCTACGCCCATGCCACACCCAAAATTGCCATCGAATAAAAGATAATCGATTAATGTATTATTGCATATATACTATATATGTATAGATGGTTCATTAATGCCATCGAAACGTACCGAGATAATTACAGTTTGTGAGTACTTGTTTCGCTGAACCTCTCTTAAATAAATCTACAGATGAGTGAGTGGATGATGGATGATGGACAGGGGGATATCCCTGATGAGGATGGGGACTATAGCTGAGGAGGACATACAAGTCGAACACTAAAAATTAAATCAACTTACGAGCAAATCTACCGAAAAAAAAAATAATGTTTGGATATTTTGAATACACGCCTAGAGCAGTAAAAAGAACACCCACGAACCAGTGGCAGCAGTTCTGGGAGCTGGGTTAACTTAAGCCTAATCCGAGAGCAAGACCACATCATCGCTAACTGCGGGCGGTGGCTTCTCCTGATTCTTTTGCTCCTTGGGACTGCTGGCATCGCTCTGGCGTCGCAGGAACTGACTGATTAGCTTGTTCTTGGTGGCCGTGGGAATTGGCTGATCCCTGGGCACAGACATGATCAGGGTGGCTCGCTTTTTGCTAGCCGGTGCTGCTTGAGCCGGTCCACCGATTGGCGTTGTGGGTGCTGAGCTCGCACCCGATGCCATATTAAGCGATGAATTGGCATCTGCGTCTGCTGGCGGACTCAGCTCGTGCTGCGCTTCTTTGCTGACCTTGGGCGTAAGCGTGTATTCCCATTCGTTCTGCAGCGGAAGCTCGGTCAGCTGAAACTTCTCTAGCATTTCGTTGGTCACCACCCAGCAAAGACGCTTCTTAGGCTTCTTGGATTTCTTGGCGCTGTTGGCATTGGCGGCCGCCTCGGGTGTGCCCAGCTCAACGGTCTTCCAGCTGGCCAGCTCTTCAATCTTTTCGCGCAGCACAGTCTTCGAGGGCAGGATCGTTGTTGTAGACTGGGCAGCAGTGTGGTTTTTCAGGTACTCTAAATACTCGTTGATCAGAAACATCTTGGAGTTCCGATTGCCATGGGTTAAGCGCACCAGCTGTTGAATCAGACAATCGTCTAGCTGCAGCGGCACTGGAGGCTCTGGCGGCTGATCCTCACGCTCCAGTTCGGCAGGGGGCTCTAGGCTGAGCGGCTCTATTTGCCAGCAGGCGTACATGTCGATGGTGTGAGCAAAGATTGCCGGGAACAGCTGCGACTTGTTGCCATTCTCATCCAGCCAAACGGGCCCTAAGAGACGTGGCTTGATCTTCTTCGTCTGTTTCTTCATCTCCTGAGCAAACTCCTGCTGCAGCACTTGCAGTTTGGCCTTCTGCGCCTCCCTCGTATGACCGTCGTCCATCTCCTCGTCGTCGTTCTGCAACTCCTCGTCACTGAGATGGCCGTGGGGTACGTACCACTCATTGTACTCCTCTTCGGATTCCTCCTCCGACTCGCGTTCCTTTTCGTCCTCGCTGGCGCTTAGAGACTCGCCTGGCTCCTCCTCTTCCCACTCGCAATCGGAGTCCAGTTCGTAGTCGAAGTGTACCTAGGAAATAAGGTAATGATGAATAAAGTGATCTTATATTTATATTTCAAGAGTCCTTACCTTATCCTGCGCCAGAGGTCGACGAGCAGATATGCAGCTGCTCTTCTTGCGCCAGGTACCGTAGTACGGTGGCCTCCGGTTGTCCGCAAACTTCAGAAACTTGGCCCGCATTCTGGCTACCAGCTTGGGCTGCTCCTCTTCGATGGGAAGACCGGCATTACCCAGATCATCTAAAAAGAAACTCGATCAGTAGGGGTACATCAGCTAAAATCCTAAGAAATCTAACCTAACACTTGAACATCATCGTCCTCCTCCTCATCCTTGGTGCGCCTCTCTAGCCTGGCATCGCGCTGCATCTTGAGCGGTTCCCGTCGTCCGTTGCTCAGTTCGCTGAGATACAGATGAGACCGATTAGGTGGCTTCCTTCTAATGATGTCCTCCTCCTCATCATCATCATCTTCCTCGTCCCGGTGCCTAAAGAGACCGTCTAGCTGGGATCGCTGCTCCTGGCCGAGCGAGGTGCGTACGACGGGTGCCAGGAGCATGTCATCCTTGACCTGGAAGGGTCGGAAGGCTAGTGTCTGACTGCTGACTTTAGAACTGTCGCAGCTACTTTGCTCGTGCTCCAGAAAGGATGTGTTATTGGATCCGCAGCCGGCTTTAGGCTGCTTGGGCACAAAGAACTTGGTGAAGGACTCGGCGGCACGCTTCTTCTTTTGCTCTGCCTCCTCGCGTTCCTGCTCCTTCTTACGACGCTCCTCGTCCTTTTTGCGCTGCACCTCCTCTTTGGCCTCGTTCCGCTTACGCTTCTCCTCGTTCTTGGAGTCAACCTCCGCTTGGCGCTTGCGATCTTTCTCCTCCTTTTCCATCTTCTTTTGCTGCTCCTTTTGGTCCTTCTCCAGCTTTCGCTGTTGCTCCTTTTCGTCGCGTTCCTGTTTCTTTTGCTGCTCACGCTGCTCCTTCTCCTGCTGCTTTAAGCGACGTTCCTCCGCCAGTTTTTGTTCCTTTTCCTCGCGAGCCTTTTTTCTTTGCTCTAGGAGTCGTTGCTGCTTGGGTGTAAGTGCCTTCTGCGCATCAGTTGCTTCCGGGAGACTCTTCCTGTGGAGAAGTGTCTCCTTTTGTGCGGAAGCTCTATCAGTGTCCACGTCCATTTCGTGTTCGCTGCTGGAACTGTTGTCTTCGCTGCTCGAGAGGATCACAGAGACTTCAACAGCTTCGGGTGATTCTTTGTCTGATATTTCATCACTAGACGGCTCTGGCTTTTTGGCCTTCTCAACGGGTTTCTTACTGATCGTCTCATCTTTCTTAGTCGCGCCCTTTTTCTGCGATTTAGCCGCATCTTGTGGGTTAGAACTCTTCCTGCTTGTTTCTTTTTGATTATTGGCGGCAGGTAAGTCTTCTTTCTCTTTCTGCGACTTTATTTCTTTCTTCCTCTTTTCTACTGGTTTTGATTCCTCCTTCTTTGGCTTCCCCGAGGCTTTCGGTGTATCCTTTTTAAGAATTTCTTTTGTCTTGGAATCATCAGCGTTTTCATCTTTCTTCTTGCCCTTTTCCATAGCCTTAACTTCTGTTTTCTCTTTTTTGCTGGTGTCCGTTTTCTTCGCTATAAAGAGATCTATCGTAGACTGATCATTCTTTTTGTTTTGCACTGTGGTTTTGGGGGTTTCTTTTTTGGACTCCTTGCCAGTCTTCTTGGGCTCTTTTTCCTCCTTAACCTCCTCCTCTTGTTTTTTGCCTTTAGGAGTCTTTTCTGGGGATTTCTCCAGGGGTTTTTGTACCTTCTGTTTCTTTTGAGGGTTTAATTCCTCGGCCAAAGCTTCTATATCATCGCTGGACTCACTGCCCGTCCTGCTAGCATCCTTGGCTGATGTGTCCAATGCTTCATCGGTTTTCTTCAATGATTTCCTTCGTTTGGATCGTTTGTTGACCAACGGCAGCTTGATTTGTATGGGTGTCGACGAGTCCTTCTTGGGCTCTGGCTTTTTGGGTTTGGTCTTGGTCTCCTTAGATTCCCGGACCGGCTCCGCCACAGCATCAGCCATTTCTTCATCGCTATTATCATCATCCAGTTCGATGACATCCTCAGCCAGAGCATCCGTGGTCTTGACCTTCTTGGTGGCTATAGAGCTGCCCAAATCAAGGTTCTCCTTGCTGTTCGAACGGCGCAGTTGGTCCGCAGAGCTGCCGGTGCCCTCCAGTGGCGTCTCATCGGTGTACGAAAGTTTTCGTTTGCGAGGAGCGGCAGGTTCATCCTCATCCAAGATCACAGTAACAGTGGCGGCATCGGATGTCGCGGAGGGGGTTCCTGCCCCACCGCCTGGCGTTATCAACTTGAAGGGCAGACGCGTTTGCACAAATTTCTTGCCACCACTCGCCGTCTTCTCTGCAGACTTGGCCACAGCTCCATCTTTCGCCCGGCCACTGATCGGGGTCTTAACAATGCCGGCAGGCATTCTCTTGTTTTATCTTTCTGTGTCCGGCCGCTCACTTTTCTTTAGCAAATTCTTCGCTTGTTTTTCGCCAACAAAATTGTTGGTCCAAAAAAAAGGCGCTGAAAACACACTAGCGATGGCAATTGTGAGCGCGGATGCCGCCAATAGATTGGTCTCACGATCGATAGATCGATAGGTTGCATACGGTTGCGAACCAGGATGGTTGAACGAGCGTTAAGGTTAAGAACACGGATAAAATAAGGAACGTTACATTTTCCAAGGAAAATATTTTAAAAAAGGTTAAGATCTAAGGATATTTTAGGTCCCAAGTATTTAGTTTTAGTGCAGAGTCAAGTCTTGGTTAAGAACTTTAATAAGACTTATCATAGATCCCATATTTCAGATTGATTGAGGTTTATTTTATAAATTAAAAGTATAAATTTGTCGAGAAAAAGTTTAGTTTGGACATTAAATATTTTTATATCCGAAAAACAAGTAAAACAAGCCATACAAACTAGCAATTTATACACAAAATGCTCATTATTCATGCAAGCCAAATAGTTTAGCACTCTGGGCCAGCTTTAAATGAATAATTAATCACTGGCGTATTTCTTAAATATTTCTGCAAGCTATCTGGCTGATTGAGTTGGTCGTTATTGTTACCTTTTGATCCAGCCTGACAGATATATACCGACTGATGATTATTGTTTACTTAGTTTAATGTGGCATTTTTACTAATCCCGGATAAGTGGAAAAATGCTTGCGGCCACAGCGACTCAGTGACCCCTTTCCACCTGCCACCGCTGCCGTTGACATGGTGACCCCACCCATCCCGGGAATGAGAGAATGAGATCCTGTGCCTACGGGCTTGATTCGCCAGCGCCATGGAATACATTCATTTAATTACAATTTGTTTCAATAGACAGAAACGCGCACAAACGGATGAAAAGGGGCTGCACAGATTGGGGGGGATTTAGGGGCAGTAACTACCACTCTGAAAATATTTATTTTAGTTTGTTATTGCAGGCGATGTTGTGATTTAATGGGGAAATAATTTAGGTGAATCTTTTTGGTATATAATTTTATATACACTCTTAATTGGCCTACAAACTAGAAAGGCGTAACCGAGCGGTAACTAACCCATTTAACTTGACTGCAGATCTTGGCTACTTCAATACTGACATGTGCAAATGCACACGAGATACAAATTGCGGTCGCCGCTTGTGGCTTTTGTTAACAGGACAGGACAAGGCGGGCGGTAACTATATATCTATCTATATAGAGAGAAAAAGAGAGATGCTATGAATTGGGTTGGACATGTGGCATATTATTCGCATTGGCCCGGATTTGCCATCGCCATATCGACTCCTTTAATAATGATAATAATAATGCGGCATCGATTCCGCTGGGACTTTTGGCCCGCTGCCCCGTTGCTCCGTGGATGAGACGGGGCGTAAAATGGGAATTCGGTCATGCGTGTGAACGGGTGCGGTGCACCATCGCCGCCTCCCTTGCCTACCCAGCATTTCCTCCCACCCCCGTTAATAGGAAATCTATTAGCGCTCACAAAAACCCCTCACTCCGCCACATGCGGGAGGTGGGGTGGCCATTGAAGCCAGGGGCATCCTCCTTCTTCTTTTTCCCATTTTGATGACACGGAAAGAGGGCAAACACTTTGAACATTTTGTAAACAGATTCAGCTTTGATTTCGAAAAAAAATAAATGTGGTTTCGGATTACCAAAAAACAGTCTTTTTTAGAATTTTTGATTTTGGAATCTTAAATTGATCATATTTTTAAAGTTTATATAAAATGTTACTGTCTTTGTTTCAAGTGTGTTAACATCAACATGAACTGAAAACCGGGACACAGTGCATTCTACCAAGTTGGTTTGGGAAAGAAAGCTCAGACAGGCGAGGTGAAATTAGAGACCTGTTGGCATGAAGCGTGCGTGAATGACACGACTGACAGACTGACAAAATGACAGCAAGGGGTAACACAAATAACACAAATTTAACATATAGAAAATTCGCATTTCTTAAACAATTAGAAATTTGGCATTCTAGGAGAGTATAAAGTTGCTTTACCGCATTTACCTTAGTTTTATCTTTAAAATAGTAATAATTTACCTAGTTTACCTATTTGAGAAGTAAAATTGTTACAAATAAGTAACTTAAACTTACAAATCTTACAATCATAATCATTAGTTTTTGCGAAATTTGATCCCATCTCGTATCTTTTATGCGGCCTTATCTTGGCCCCCTTAAAAACAGTTTACTTTATCAGGACCAACCAGACCACCATGTCCTTAACATCAATCGCAGTTTTTATTGTATTTAAGTAATTGGAGGGTAAAATGTGTTTCCAATTTGTTGTACCTATGGTTGGCAGAATTTTCCCCCCTGTTCTTACTTGTTAAGACACTGAGAAAAACTTTTGATTTTCTAAAAACAAATCTATTTCCTTAGTCATTGTTATGTAAAAGTAGTTAGAGATATACATAAGAAACATAATTAGTTATAAAGTAATAAAAAAAACATTATTAAAAACCAGATTAGTTATTAAGAAACCAAGTAATTGTTTTCAGTGACTAGCTGTAAGTGTAACAGTGAGCGGAAAAAGTAACCGGCAACGGCAACAAGATTGAAAAAGTATTGAATTACATTTATACAACATTTGGTTGAATAGCCTTTGTCAGGGGGTGGTGGGCGATGGGCTGTGGGCGGTGAACGGTGGGTGGTCGAGTGTTGCGGTTTGAGTTTCCTTTTGTTAGCCTAGTGGGTGGTTAGGGCTGCGTTTGTTGTCGTTCCCTTTGAATGGGGTTCGGGGTTTTGGCGATTAACAAGAATGCCTCTCCTGTTCTTACACTCCTCCACCTCATTTTCTTTCACTGTACGGGTATATTTGTGGCTTCCTTGGGTGTCTGCTTAAAAAGCACTCGAAAAATATGCTAGTGCTTTGGCAAGGATTTATAAATTTGGTAATGATTTTTATTAATATTCCAAATTCAACTTTAGAAATTTGTTTCTTGATTAAATAAACCAATTTTCTAGGCTTAGAAAACCAAATACCTTCCACCTTTTTTTCTCTGTGTATGAAAAAGCAACCGGGGAAATGTCGAAACGGAACAGAAGTGAAGTGGGCCGAAGGTCGATTCCCGCAGGAATCGCTGTGAAAATTCATTAGTTGCCCATTTTTATGCTATTTTATTTCAATATAAAAGACGCACGCATGCATGCATTTAGTTTTCCATTCTTTCGGCACTACTGTAGACCCCGTCTCCGACCCCTGCTCCAGCTCCTCCTCATCCGCCGCCTCTGCTTTATTATGCCGTTTGACGCAGCGGACATGCATTAAAATTGTAACAGGCCGAAAAGGAAAGGGAATGACAGGGGCCCATGGGTGGGGGCGTTTGGCCGAAAAGGCGCAATAACGGGGCGAGGCAGGGCGGCCAGGTAGTTGACGACAATCTGAGGAAGTGACAGGTAGATCTGTCGAATCTTAACCAAGAACTCTGTCTGAAATTGAGGGAAAATAGGGCTAGTTTTCTAAGTTTTTTTCTAACTATAGCCAAATGTACAGCACTGTGTGAAAGAGAAGAGAGCATAGTAGGTGAAAGGGACCCAAGATCGAGATCGCCTTGAGTTTGACACACTTGCCTTGGGCAACAGCAACTTCCTTCGGAACAATGGGACTTTTGTTCAGTCTCTCCGGGATCGGATCTTTTCCGGACTTTGATTTCCACGAACACGTAATTCCCACACTTTTCACTTTTCCCCTGACTGCCCACGATTTTCCCTCTTTCATTCATTCGATTCCATTTCGGATCTTTTGTGATCGAACCTGTCGATCGCTGACCATAAATACCTGTCACATTCAATTCCGCTTCCATTGCACAGGAAATAATAATGAGTTTTTTTCCTATATGATTTAAAATTAATTTGTATTTTTAGATTTATGAATAGGGCAAGCCATGTGTGTGTTAACTAAGATATTTCCGTTGATATTTTCTAACATATTTTTGTTTTATAAATCAAAAACCTTTTTATCAAGGTAAAAGTTGATTATTTTTGTGTCTGTAATTCCCCTTCTGCGGCACAGGCTTTAGTTTTTTTTTCTTGACATTCTGTAAGCTTCATTGCAACAAATTAGCTTGATTCAGCCTCTGACATTTCGATCGTGATTTGGCTTTTTCTCTGTCATTTATTGGGCTTCCGATCTTTTTCGGAAATTTTTAACTGTCATTCTGCTGGGAGTTACACAAGTCATCTGCACAAATTGAGGAAAGCTGCCAGTCATTTCTTTGGTGGGGAATTTTCCTACTCCGTAGCATAGCTTTGGGAGTAAAAGTCAAGAGATTTTGATTTTACTTTCTTTGTAGAAACTTTTTCTTTACTTATTACTATTAATGCTACTACTACTAGTACTGCCACTACTAATACTACTATTAGTAATATTATTATTGCTACTACTACTACTACTGCTACTATTACTGCTACTATTACTGCTACTACTACTACTGTTACTACTACTACTGTTACTACTACTACTATTGTTACTACTACTACTATTTTTAATACTACTACTACTACTACCACTACTACTACTACTCTTATTACTACTTCTACTACATACTTTTACTACTATTACTACTACTACTAGATACTTTTACTACTACTACTACTACTATTAGTACTACTATTACTGCTAATATTACTGCTACTACTACTACTGTTACTACTACTACCTGTACTATTACTACTACTACTGTTACTACTACTACTAGTGCATACTTTTACTACTACTACTACTACTACTACTATTAGTTCTACTATTACTGCTACTATTAGTACTTCTCTTCTATTTTAGATCCTACTTTAATACTTATTTATGCATAAAACTTTTTCTTTTATAGAATTACTTAATTTTCAGTCTATAGCTACTTAAAAACATTAATACTTAACATTACCTTTCAAACTTATAAGCTAATTCAACTTTAATTAAAGACTTTTCCAAATGTTTCCCAACATCAGAGCTCTTTATAAACTAAACAACTCACCAAACTCAATTTACTTAATATAATTTAATTATAACTTCGAACTTCCTTAATGATCAAATGATTTTCC